AACTCCTGACTTTGTGATCCACCCGCCTCAGCCTCCCAAAGTGGGATTACAGGTGTGAGCCACCGCCCCCCGGGGAAGAGGGTCATAAAGGATTTAGGCCTCCCCTTCTGCAGAGATTAAGTTCTTCAGACCAGGGAAGAAAGAGGTGACTGGATTATTTTGCAGAGAAAGCTGGAGCCCAAGGGGAGGGAGACAGGAATTGGAAAAGGGTAGGGATGGGGGAGGAGATGCCAGATCAGCCCTGAGAACCTCTTTACCCCTCTCAAAGACTTAGGACACTAATGGGAAAGACTGGGCTAACTTCTGCCCTTCCCCACTGTCTGCCCAGGGACACCTGGGAAAGGACAAATAAGAGCTGAATCCTTCACTGAAGGCCCCGTCAACGTATCTATGGGTTGGGCGTTAGGAACGGCCTGGCCTCACAAATCACATAACTGGGGTGTAGAACAAAATGGTTCCAGAGATGCTACCAGGCTGGTCCAGGACCGATGCAGGCCAGAACCCCGCTGGGAGGACTCCCCAGAACAGGCACTGAGCTGAGGAAAGGCAGAACACATGGTCTGCTACTGACCCCACCAGATCTTCTGGGACTCTGGGCAGCTCCGGAGTACTGCTAAGTCCCCAAACCGGGTCTACAGGTCTTAGCGCACACTCATGAGGCCACTTGCCTCAGAGCCTTCGGGGGGGGTCTTAGGAGGCAGGCAAGAAGGTCTCCTTCTAGGCCATTCTAGGAGGGGACTGGAGAGCAGAGGTTAGACTGGAGGGTAGGGGTAACCTGATCTTACAGTCCAGAAGCCACGAGACTAGTCTCCTGGCCTTGCGCCCCGCCCCACTGCAGGGTGGAAAGCCTGTCCCACTCCAGTCACCCAGCTCAATAACGCCCTCCACCGTGGGTCTCCTGGGCCCCAGAAATCGTTCCCTCTTTCCCTCGCCTGGGCACTGCCACGCGGTCTGGGGAACCCGTAGACTATCGACGGGTCTGGCCCGGGGTTTGCCCTGCCCGTTAGCCCAGGAGGATAGACAGACACGGGGAACTGGTGTTCCCCTAGTGATTTCAAGGCTCATTAACTGTCTCCGACCCGTCCCGAAAGCAAGAAACTCCACCGCTTCTCTTCAAAGCTCCGCAACGAAGGACTAGGTCCAAGGACCGCAGGCGGAGGCGGGAATTGTCCAGATCCCAGGTTACGAAATGGCACCGAGTCGGTGACCAAAGGAAGCAGGAACCCGGGTGTTCAAGGCAGTCCTCCAGGGCGGCGCGGGGGCTAGGCTGAGGCCACTCCCTCCCACTTCCTCGACGCTATTTCCTGGGAGGAGTTGGAGCTCGCAGCCCGGAGCCAAGGGACTCCCAGACCCGTGCTCCAAAATACTAGGCTTGGGGGAGGCTGGTTCCTGAGCGGCGCCAGGACCGTTCTGCCATGCATAGTGGACCCAGCACTACAGCTAGCCTGGCACGACCTCTAGGGCGGTTCGCAACGGTACTCGTACGTCGGCTCGTTGGTCTAGGGGTATGATTCTCGCTTCGGGTGCGAGAGGTCCCGGGTTCAAATCCCGGACGAGCCCTCCTTTACGTTTTGCTCAAACAAGAGTGTCTTCAAGGAATGTGTTACCTGACCAGCGCTGCAGGAGGCTTGACTGGAAATCATCAATGTACAGTAAACTCTTTTGTGGCACCAGGGTAACAGAAAGAATCTCAGTCCCCAGACCCGCCTGGCATGTCAGGAAGAGAGGAGGCACGCCCAGACTTGGGCAGGACGCTCCCTTTCTGCCTCTTGACTTCCTGCATGGTGTCTCAATCCGCCACTACAGCCTGGTTTCGGTTTGATTGACACCCATCAATCTATAGTTGTGGATGACAGTGTTCGGGAGAGCCCAGGAACTGTCAGAACTTGGTTCTCTGCAGCCCTGGAGGTACTCTGTCTCGGTCACTCCATCTGACGATCGGTGCCTGAAATACACCTACAGTTTCTGGTCCGCGTTTCTCGGTGGTCGGAAGAACAGAACCCTTAGGAACTCTGCTGTCAGCAAGCCGAGTGTAAAGTCCCAGATCAAGGATTCGGAGAGTAGCGTCGACGGGTCACTCCTCGTTAGTATAGTGGTGAGTATCCCCGCCTGTCACGCGGGAGACCGGGGTTCGATTCCCCGACGGGGAGAATCCAAATGATTTTGCTTTCATTAAATCCGTCCTGGCCCCTGGAATGGAGCTAGAAAAAAGAGGGAAAGGAGGAAAGTTTGGCCTACCTCTCCAGCTCGCATTCTAAGTTTGCATTTTAGTTCAAGCAACTTGGAGTTCAAACGTGTACCTAAAGTGGCCACTATCTCCTCCGCTCAGTATGTTCATTAGTGCTCAAACTTGATCTAGCTTGCTCCCTCCTTGACGGCAGTGCGCATTTCCAGTCTCTGCTTGAACCTGGGCAAGCAGCTTTGGCCCCCGGCTGTCCAGGGTGCAGAGCCCGGGCTTTTGTTTCCTTTCGCCTCCCTGCGTTTTGTGAATTCGCACTGCGATCCGGGAACAGTAGGCAACCCCGGGCCGAAATTCTGACAGGCTGCTCTCACCTGGAGGGGCTTGCAGGGCGCATCCGCCAGGAGCGCGGTGGTCCGGCAGTGGTCGCAGGTGTAGCGGAAAGCGGGTTCTTTCGGAGAGGAAGGTTTCTCAGGAAAACCTCACGAAAATCCTCAACGATGGTGGGGCCCAGAAAACACGAGAAGGAAAAGAGGGAAAAAATAAAAAAAATAAAAATTCACTTGCGTTGGCCGGGAATCGAACCCGGGTCAACTGCTTGGAAGGCAGCTATGCTCACCACTATACCACCAACGCCTGGGTGCTACTGCTTCCCTTCACACCTCATGTTGATTGCGGTGAGTCGGATTGGACCCGTGCGGAGCCAGGGAAACAGCATCAGCGAGATCCAGGTAAAAGTAATGGCTGTTGCCGTCTGCCCGGCGCAATTGTGAGTGACCTTCACCGCTAGTGCGCGCCACCCCACATGAACCTGTAGGGTTATGCTCAGTCTACAGACGAGGAAACCAAGGTCCAAAGAAGTTGAGTCACCGGCAGAGCTGGGATTACATCTAAGATCTCTCCAGGGAGCGAGAACTGCAGCGGCATCATGATGATTTATCATCTCCAGAAAAAAAAAAAAGAGTCCTAGACGCATAAAAATCGCTTCTCTGTAGAGTGGGCTCAATGAGCTCAATGTGATTCAAGTTAAGGAACTGGGCCCTAAGTCAAATGCGCCTAAACACAATTTGCCTCTTTATTATTTATTCAGATTCCCACGTACGTGCGCCCACATCTCGTCAGCTGGTGCCTCGCAGAAATGCGCTGACAAATCTTAAAGATGCGGCTTCATGACAAAAGTCCTCCCCTTATTGCTGTTCAAGAGACCCCTCAAGTCACGCTGTTGGGCAGGCCTCGTGGCGCAACGGTAGCGCGTCTGACTCCAGATCAGAAGGTTGCGTGTTCAAATCACGTCGGGGTCAAACAAAACATTGTTTTCCCTAATCAAATAGATTTACGGTGTCATTTTTAGGGACAGGGCAAAAAAATCTCCTCAGTAGAAGGATAGGAGGGGAATGAGACAAATGAGAACGTTATTCAGAAGTTGGGTACAATTTCAGTTGGGTACAGACTTTCAGCACTATGTGATATATCCCTGAGGCAAAACTGCACATGTACCCCTAAAGTCTATAAAAGTAAAAATAAATTTAAAAATTAAAAAAATTCCTGTTGTATGGAAATTTGTTAAGAATTTTTTTCAATTATTATTGTTTGTTTGTATCTTTTTTCCCTTGAGATGGAGTTTCTCTCTTGTTGCCTAGGCTGGAATGCAATGGCACTATTTCAGCTCACCGCAACCTCCGGCCATGGGTTCAAAAGGATTCTCCTGCCTCAGCGTCCCGAGTAGCTGGGATTACAGGCATGCACCACCACGCCCGGCTAATTTTGTATTTTTAGTAGAGAGGGGGTGTCTCCATTTTGGTCAGGCTGGTCTCGAACTCCCAACCTCTCGTGATCCGCCCCCCTGGGCCTCCCAAAGTGCTGGGATTACAGGTGTGAGCCACCGTGCCCGGCCTTTTTAAATGTTTTTAATAATCTCTGCTGTTCTATGTATGTTTACTTAACACTGAACACAAGGATATTAAATACAAATATTACCTTTCTCCAGACTTCCCAGCAGTCACTAGAAGCCCAGGACCACGTGCCTTTTGGCTGCTTCCAGTAAATCGAAAAACAAAACCGGTGGGGCGGGGTGGTTCATGCCTATAATCCCAGCACTTTGGGATGCCAAAGAGGGCAGATCACCTGAGGTCGGGAGTTTGAGACCAGCCTGGCCAACATGGTGAAACCTATCTCTACCAAAAATACAAAAAAATTAGCCAGGCATGGTGGCACATGCCTGTAATCCCAGCTACTCGGGAGGCTGAGGCAGAAGAATCGCTTGAGCTTGGGAGGCGGAGGTTGCAGTGAGCTGAGATCATGCCATTACTCTCCAACCTGGGGGACAGAGTGAGGCTTCGTCTCAAAAAAAAAAAAAAAAGGAAATACACTTACAGTCCTTATTTCTCTAACTGGTCATGTAGTGGTAGCTGATAACTAGCTTCTTTTTTTTTTTTTTTTTTTTGAGATGGAGTCTCACTCTGTCACTCAGGTTGGAGTGCAGTAGAGTGCAGGTGATCCACCTATCTTGGCCTCCCAAAGTGCTGGGATTACAGGCGTGAGCCACCATGCACAGCCATTTACAAAATATTTTTAGTAGAGACGGGGTTTCATCGTGTTGGCCAGGCTGGTCTCAAACTCCTGATATCAGGTGATCCTCCCACCTCAGCTTCCTAAAGTGTTGGGAATATAGGTGTAAGCCACCCCACCTGGCCTAAGTAGCTTCTTCTACTACCCATTTTGTCTTTCCATTGTCTTCAGCAAGCCCCTCAACTGGTCCTGGTTCTTTCCCTGGTAGGGAGACCCAAACCTTGTTCCTGAAGGGTCTAAGTCACTAGTAATCCTACCTGAATTGAGTGCTTGTAGTTTTCCACTGACCTTAAAATCTGTATTGGTCTGCTCAGACTACTATATAACAAAATGCCACAGACTGGGTGGCTTAAACAACAGACATCTATGTTCTCACTCTTCTGGAGGCTCAAAGTCCAAGATCAAGATGTTTACAGGGTTTGTGTCTGCTGAGGCCTCTCTTCCCGCCTTTTACACGCTGCCATCTTGCAGTGTCCTCACATGGCCTTTCCTCCGTGCAGACAGGGAAAGAGAGAGCTCTGGAGTCTCTCCCTCTTCTCCTAGGGATGCCAGCCTTGCAGGATTAGGACTTCACTCAAAAGACCTCATTTAACCTTAACTACCTCCCTAAAGGCTCTGTCTGGAAATACATTTACCTTGGGTGTTAAGGCTTTATCATATGGATTTTGGAGGGACACAATTTCATCCATAACAACTACAGAAAAAAATGGTAGAGAAACAATATACATAGATCTAATTCTTGATTTTTTTTTTTTTTTTTTTTTGAGACGGAGTCTTGCTCTGTCACCCAGGCTGGAGTTCAGTTGTGTGATCTCTGCTCACTGAAAGCTCTGCCTCCCAGATTCATGCCATTCTCCTGCCTCAGCCTCCCGAGTAGCTGGGACTACAGGCACCTGCCACCACACCCGGCTAATTTTTTGTGTGTTTTTAGTAGAGACGGGGTTTCACCATCTTAGCCAGGATGGTCTTGATCTCCTGACCTCGTGATCCACCCGCCTTGGCCTCCCAAAGTGCTGGGATTACAGGCGTGAGCCACAGCGCCTGGCCTAATTCTTGAAATTTTACACTAGAACTCCACTCCTTTTACTTCATTTTTTAAAAACATCAGAAACAAACAAAGAAAATGTGTTAAGATTTGACTAATTTAATAGTACTCACATAAGTGCCTTTCAAGTGTATGCCTGGACAGGTGTGGCGGTTCATGCCTGTAATCCCAGCACTTTGGGGGCCAAGGTGGGTGGATCACCTGAGGTAAGGAGTTCGAGACCAGTCTGGTCAAAATGACGAAACCCCGTCTGTACTAAAAATACAAAAATTAGCCAGGCATGGTGACGCATGCCTGTAATCCCGGGAGGCAGAGGTTGCAGTGAACCCAGATCGCCCCATTGCACTCCAGCCTGGGCAACAAGAGCGACACTCTGTCTCAAAAAAAGAAAGAAAAAAAAAAAGGTCTTAGCGTGGAAATGGTGGCAGGCGCCTGTAATCCCAGCTACTCGGGAGCACTGAGGCGGGAGAATTGCTTGAACCTGGAGCAGCAAGGTTGCAGTGAACGGAGATTGCGCTACTGCACTCCAGCCTGGGCCCACAAGAGTGAAACTCCATTTCAAAATAATAATAACAATAAATAAAAAAGAGCTGGGCGTGGTGGCTCACGCCTGTAATCTCAGTACTTTGGGGGCCTGCAGCAGGCAGATCACAGTCAGGAGTTTGAGAACAGCCTGACCGACATGGTGAACCTTATCTCTACTAAAAACATAAACAAATTAGCTGGGTATGGTGCACATGCCTGTAGTCCCAGCTACTTGGGAAGCTGAGGCAGGAGCACTTGAACCTGGGAGGCAGAGGTTGTGGTGAGCTGAAATCATGCCACTGCACTCCAGTCTGGGCAACAGAGCAAGACTGCATCTTAAAAGAAAAAAAAAAAAAAGATATTTTACAATTTTTTTTGTGGTTTATACCTAACATAAATTTTACCATTTTAACCATTTTAAAGTAATTAAGGGTTTCTGGTATATTCTCATAGTGGTGGATCAATAATCACTATTTAATTCCAGAACATTTTAATCACGCCCAAAAAGAAACCCTCTATCCATTGGCACTCACTCTGGATTCCCCCTTCTCCCTCCCCCTAGTCTCTGGAAACCACTAATCTGTTTCTGTCCCAATGGATTTGCTTATGCTGGATATTATGCTGGATATCGCATGTAAATGCAATAATATAATATGTGAACTTTCTATCTAGCTTTCTTTTCTTTTCTTTTTCTTTTTTTTTTTTTTAGATGAAGTCTTGCTCTGTTGCCCAGGCTGGAGAGCAATGGCACGATCTCAGCTCACTGCAACCTGTGCCTCTTGGGTTTAACAGTTTTCCTGCCTCAGCCTCCTGAGTAGCTGGGACTACAGGCGCCCACCACCATACCCAGCTAATTTTTGTATTTTCAGTAGAGTCGGGGTTTCGCCATGTTGGCCAAGCTGGTCTCGAACTCCTGACCTCAAGTGATCCTCCTGCCTCAGCATCCCAAAGTGCTGAGATGGCAGGTGTAAGCCAGCACACCCGGACTTTTTTCTTTTTCTTTCTTTTCTTTTTTTTTTTAAGAGAGAGGGTCTTGCTCTGTTGCCAAGGCTGGAGTGCAGTAGCATGATCACTGCTTACTACAGCCTCGACCTCCTGGACTTAAGCAATCCTCCTGCCTCAGCCTCCCGAGCAGCTGAGACTACAAGTGCGCACCACCACATCCAGCTAATTTTTGTATTTTTTGTAGAGATCGGATTTCGCCATGTTGCCCAGGCAAGTCTGGAACTTCTGGGCTCAAGGGATCTGCCCACTTTAGCCTTCCAAAGTGCTGGGACTACAGCCATGAGCCACAGTGCTCAGCTTAGCCTCTTTTGCTCATAGTGTTTTCATGGTTTCCATGAAACAAGATATCAGTACTTCATTCCTCTTAGGACTAATTTGAGTTTCTTCCAACTTTTGGCTGTTGTGAATAACGCTGCTTCTGAATATTTATGATACTTCCTTTCAATTCTTTTTTTTTTTTTTGAGATGGGAGTCTCGCTCTGTCACCCAGGCTGGAATGCAGCGGCGTGATCTTGGTTCACTGCAACCTCCACCTTCCAGGCTAAAGCGATTCTCCTCCCTCAGCCTCTCGAGTAGCTGGGACTACAAGTGCCCACCACCACGCCTGGCTAATTTTTGTATTTTTAGTAGAGACGGGATTTCACTATGTTGGCCAGACTGGTCTTGATCTCCTGACCTTGTGAGCCGCCCGCCTCAGCCTCCCAAAGTGCTGGGATTACAGGTGTGAGCCACGGCGCCCGGCCCAATTCTTTTACATATACACTTAAGAGTAGAATTGCTGGGCTTTCTCAGATTCCTTGCCCCATAGAGCTCTTCCTCTTGGGCCCCAATGTCCTACTTTAGGGGAGGAAGATTTACTTTCCGAACCTCATCATAAGCTTCAAAGGGATCAAAAACTGCCTGCTAGCACAAGCCTATGCCCTCTGCTACCACACCTTCTTTTTAGAGATTATTTGTCATTAATATTTAATCCTGCAAACAGTTCCATGACTCCATACACCTTCTAAAACATTAGAACATTAAAGGCAAAGCTTAAGTCCCCTTTGATGACCACCCATCTCTGCCTCCTCCCTCCTCTCCACAGAAGAGACAATGGCAATGCAAATACATGAGACATATTTCACTATGTTGATGTGTGGGCGGTTAAAGGTAAATTGATAGATTAAAGAAGCGAATTGGTGTAACCAAGTCCAAACTTGTTCTGAGGCTGCAATGAGCTATGACTGTGCAGTAAGTGTGCATGCCTCGGACAAAAGAGACTTTGTCTTTAAAAAAAAAAAAAAAAAAAAAAAACGGGCCAGGCACAGTGGCTCACGCTTGTAATCCCAGCATTTTGGGAGACCGAAGCGGATAGATCACAAGGATGGGAGTTCAAGACAAGCCTGGCCAAC